CAGTAAGGGACCTTCTTTTTTTCCCTTTAATAGCACAATATATGTGTGTGTTGGCTTTGTAGGCATATTGGTAAAAAGATCTTACATTTCAGTCTAGAAGCTCTCAGCTGAAGTAGGAAGGATGGTAGATAGCAAAGGATATCACAAATCAGGAAAATGTAAGTGGGTTAATTCCACGAGAGGGAGAACTCCTCTGCAAATCCATCCCTGTCTTGTCTTCACATCCAGTGTCACAAGAAGTGCCCTTCTGATTCATGCCAGCTTGATGAACTGGAAGAACCTGTTGAGCCTGTGATAGCTGTGACCAGAGAATTAGCAGCTTCTTTCCCTCTTCAGTTCTGTTTTTAGGCTGGGATACATCTTTACGGAAGATTAACACCCTAGTGGGTTGGGGAAATTAAATTTCACAAGGGATGCAAACTGAAGAGCATGTATTCAGAGGTGTGAAAATGAAACGGGGAGGTTTTAATGTAGTGACTTCTTAATGAGTAGATTCTATGGCCTCAAGCCTTGGGGCTTTTCTGGAGGTGAGGTTACTTCAGAGAAACAGGTGATGTGAATTTAAAGGGGAGATTCCAGAATAATTCCTAATCTGGCACTCTTGTCCCAGAATAAGGGCCCCTTTTCTGATCTGATTTAATGCATTTCCAAAATATATTGGCTAATATATTAATTAGCTATTTCCTAGCTGTTATTTCAGTCTTTTTCCTAGGTAGAAAGAAGCTTGTGACAAGGCTGGCTGAATTGGCTCATCATCCCGGATGGGTGTCCTGGCTGATCCCGGCTGGCACATTGGCCTCTCCTCCTCCTTGGGGCTGTGCCAGTGGCTCTGCCAAACCCCCTTCCGCAATCACTGCCCACCTTCCCTTGGAGCTGAGCTTGCTCTCGTCCCTGCTTGTCCCTCTTCTGAATCTGGCAAGGCAGGGCTCATACGACGAGGGTGTGGGCTGTGAGCCCAGCTGGCAAAGCCTCACGTTCTGCTCCAGCGCCACTCCCGCTGTACTCCAGCCAGCTGACACGCACGCGCACCTGACAGTAGTGGAACGGTGACTTGGGAATATGTATTTTTCAGGAGCCACATCGGCTTTTCCCCTTTAGTGCACTGTTGTGTTATGGGGACTGTGGGAGCGGAACCCCGTAAATACTCAAAGCATCCCCTAAAAGAAATGGCAGCTGTATATATGGGCACTGCTTGTGTATTATGAGCAGCATGAGCTGCCAATACAATTTTTTTCCTTCTACGCACTCCGGTTGTCTTGTGACCTCTCTCAGCTTGATTTATTTGGCAGTTGTTCTCCATGGGAGGGCAGCGGGATGGGTGTGTTACGGCCTATGAATGTTCTGCTCTATGCCAGCTTATTTGCGTTCGCTTTCATGTGATGAATATACCCGGTGTCTTTCTAAACATCTAGAGTCATTTCTGGTTGATGTAATGCTACCTTTTACTGGGAACATTCTTCTCTGTCATCGTCAGATAAAAATTTAAATCTGTTAGGATTGTTTTTCTTCCAAAGGAAGTGAAATGAGTATGAGATTTTGTTTGGCTTATACGGATGTATCAGGAATGTTCGCCATCTGATATGCTTGCATGTAGACGAGAGCAAAGGCAGATTTTTTTTTATTTTTTTTAACCACATGTAGACAACTCAGTATGATGAATGAGTTTATTATCCTGTAAGGTGCTTATTATATTATGCTCCTCTTTGCCTTTGTCTTTAGGGAGAACTCTTTAACCACTTCAGGGATTGATTGCATTTGATTAGAGGCTAGTTTGCCTTTTGAATCCATTATTCTGGATGAAAGTCCACAAGTTTATTCCATTTTCTGATGCAGCCGGAATTGCACTGTGTGTGTACTGTGTGAAGAAGGACCAAATGCAAAGTTATTTCATAAGGGCCTATTTGAATTGATGAGTGGCCTTTTCTTATAGAATTAGAAGACTGGATTGCAGGTAGGGGTGGAAAGGAGCCTGTGAACTCATCCTGCCTGAAGCAGCTTTCAAACAGTGCCCTTTCCTTTCTGCACCCTTTCTCTCAGCTTCTTCTTCCTTTGAAACTTAAAAATTATGGATTATCCTTTCATTAAAAAAGAAGAGAATTTCACTGATTTGATTTAACTTTCCTGTTGTGGTGGCCACAAATGTTTCCCTTACGTCCTGCCCCATCTGGAGACCTGCCTGGGAGATGAAGGAGTGGTGGGGGCAGTACCTTCCTTCTGGTCTCACGTCGCCAAGGATAATAAGGCAGCTTTAAGGATGGGATATAGGCTGGGCTAGCTGGTGGGAGCCCTTGGAAGATTGCCGTTTCCTTGTTCTTTGAAATCATAACACCCTTTCTTTCTCCTAAACACAACCAATGTGATTGTTCACTGCCCAGTGTAGCATCTCTGCTCTGAAACGATGACTGGATTTTCATGGGAAGCGAAAGTAAAGGCTGATGCTTCCCAAGTTTAATGTGACGCTGTCTTCCTGTGAGGGTGATGCGGTGGGAATGAAGAGGAAGACTGCGTGGATCGGTGGAAGTTACCCAAAGCAGAGCTCCTCTGAGCTGTTGCCATGAGCTCTGCTTTAATCTCCTAAGCTTCTACTTCGGTTTTCACTTCTCTGTTGGAACGCAGCGTTTCTGAAGTGCTTGACTGACAGAGGAGGATTTAAGGGAAAGAAAGGTAGAGCCGCCTTCCAGGCAGTTTCACTAATTGCTGCTTATTATAAATTTAACAGATGAACTGTCAAGTTTTTTGAAGGTGTCTGATCACCACAACCTTTTCTTGGATTCTGTACTGGCTGTAGAAAAGATTAACCTCTAAGGTGCTGAGTAATGCATTTCATCACTCAATAACGTGTTCTTTGGTTTACAGTTTACAGTTTGCAGGCTTCATTGTTCCTTTTATCATCTCTTTTGTAATATTGGTCTGCAGTCTGAAAGATATCTTTGATATGCTTTTTTTAATGTTTATATTTACTCGATGATTATTTTAGGAGCTATGGAAGAATTTTATTCTTCTCAGAGTCTGCTTCCAGTGAGTGAAGCTTTTGCTTTTCAATAAAATGGATCCTTTTATTATTTTTTTCCCCACAGATGTCTAATTTGATAGGCACAGTAGGACTGAAATAATACTTTTTATCACTTGAAATTTCAAAGTATTTCATAGATTCTAAAATAAGTTCTGTAGCTTGAGAAGCTAAACATTTGTAAGTAGTTCATCTGTCTGAGGTAAGATTTTTAAAGAAGAAATATACAGGTAGCTCTTCCCTTAAAGTTTTTGGAAAGCATCCTGATTTTTCTGGGTAGCTTTTCCTCTTGTTCCTGTGACTCTCTATCGTGTAGTCCTCGTGTCATCATACTCTCTTTGCATTGTCAAAACCCTACCTAAAATCTTTCATTTTCTTTTCATTTAAATCTCCAAGATCACCCTTAGGTTTTATATTGGCCACATTTCTGTTGCGTGACTTAGCTGAGGGGAGAGCACATTTAAGCAGCTTTGCTTATAGCTCTGCCTGTCACCCGGCCATTCCAAAAAGATGTTTTGACCCTGAAAGCTGCTGCCTGTATGGCCTACGGAGGCTGGCACTGGTTGCAGAGTCACCTCTTCCCATTTCTTGCCCTGTTTATTCCCATGCCAAAAAAATACAATTTCAGGAGCACCAGCCACCCAGCCCTCCTCTGGTCTGGTGAAACTTTCAGTGATAGGAAATGGCAGAAAATTATATGTTTATCTGAAAGTGGTGATGCAAAAAAAAAGGGAGCAACTGAAGTTGAGCAATTTCTACGAAAGTAAATGAAAGCGTCAGTGCAGAGGTCAGAAGTTAGGGAGCAGATAGGGGCAAGTTCTTTCTCTGGTAAATTTAATTTACACTTTTTACTAAATGTAAATGTTGGCTTAGGAAAAAAACTGCTTGGAATACATAGTAAATGATGTTGCCAGGATACTTCCTGATCATGTTAATTAAACTGTCCCACAGATTTGGCTTAATTACTGCATAATTTGCATATTGGAAATGATGGTACATTACTAAAGAAAGCTCCTATTATGTTAGCAGAAGGAACATTGTACATGAATTAATTTCCAGGGGAAGGAGTCTCTAGATTCATATAATGATGTATCTTGAAAATAAAGTTAAGATTTTTGATAATGAACTGACATATATCTCATTCCTTTTTGCGAGATTACATTTTATGCTTGTTCCACTAAATTCCATAGAGACTTCGTCCCAACAGCCTTCCTTTTGTTGGCTATTTCTTTAATTACAAGAACCACTGTTGCTTTCAAGGTTGCTGCTGCTGAAGCACATAGTAGTTAATTTGTGTAAAGCGGCAGAATATTTGTCTTGAGGCCCACCTTTGGTACTGCGTGTGTGTTGCTGGTGATGTACTTCACCACCCTGCCAAGTTAAACTTATTATTAAGCTATCAGTTTCTCCTTTTCTTGTTTTTTTTCTGTGGTTTTGGGGTTTGTGGTTTGTTTGTTTGTTTTAAATTTCTGGCATGTCTCTGACATTCTACTGGTGGAGGCCCAAGGCCAAATGGAGAAATGCAGAAATATCTCTTTGCTCGTCCAGTCTGAGGGTGGGTGTTGCTGGTGGACACCTTGCTTGGAGGCGTCGGGCCATCCCAGGTAACTGGTGGGGTAGTGGGAACAGCTGTGTGCCTTTGTAATGCTGAAAAAACCAGGATTCTGAATCTCCATTTCTGCCAGAGTAATTTTATAACTCCTGTCCCTGCCAGTGCTTTGAATTCAGTGATATTCCTGTAACTGTGTTTTAACTGCAAGACCATGCTAGTGCTTCGGAAAAAGAAAACAAAACATCAGAATTCCTGCATGATATAAGACAGGATAGAAACTGTTTTGGTTTTGATGAAAAAAAAGAAATCTTCTGAATGGAGCAACTCCCCAGTTTAGATTGCTCATTGCTTTGGATGACATCATTGCTAGGATATGCATTTCCGATGGGTCTTCTACTTTTTAATTCTTTTTTGATCTGTTTTGTTAAACAGGTGATCATAAACAGCACAATCACACCTAACATGACCTTCACTAAAACATCGCAGAAGTTCGGTCAGTGGGCAGACAGCAGAGCAAACACCGTGTTTGGATTGGGCTTTCCCTCCGAGCAGCAGCTGACGAAGGTAACGGGACTCACTGGGTTTCTGCAAAGGCTTTGTCTCTTATTAATGGAGAATTTTGTACACCTATCCGTCGTCTTCTGAGCTCCATGCTTCTGCAAGTCCTCTTTATCTGTGCAATTTGCCCCTCTCCTGTAGTTACCCGATGTCTGTGTGTAAAGGAGAAGGCAGTATTGCAAACTTTGTAGTCAAAACTATAGACTACATCTGACCACTGATGATGGTACTAGTGAGGTGATCTCAATGGTATCTTGTCCAGCATGGCTGGAAGCATTTGCGTTTTCAGATTTTTACGGAAGCAACCTGAGCTCTGTAGTATTTTTTGGCATCTCCCTGGTCTAGGTGCTCATTTCAGCTGAAAGTGGCACCGAAAGCAAAGGGAGCCACTGATACACCAGGACTGTTGGCATTAGGGCTCCCTAATGTGTCTGAAGGCAGAGAGTTGCTATCCCAGCCTCAGAAATGTGTGTTTTGATGGCTTGCTGCCTTTCGTAACTAACGGAGGTGAACAAGTTGCCAGCCCCTGGGGCTTGCTGGTGGCCTTGCTCTGCAGATAGACACCACTGTTGGTAGGGCCGTGCTCTCCAGAGGCTCACTAAAGTGACCTAGGTTACAATAATACCAGTTTTTTGGCATCTCAGCTCTGTGGTGTGATTTGCAGCTCTGCCCCGAAGCTGCTTTGTCACAGACCTGAAGGTCGTGGCAGCGATGGGTGGATGAGCAGCCGGGGAGATCTGATGCCGGGTTTGCGGGCAGAGCCGCCTCTCACAGAGGACAGAGCTGGCCGTGAGTTTGGTATCAATTCAGTGCTTCCCAGGAGCAGGGACTGGCTACAACAGCAGGCTGGTAAAGTCTAGAGGTGCCTCTTGTCATGAATAACCAGCAGTTTAAAATACATCTCTGTCATTCGGTTAGTGGTCTTGTCAAGTGCTCATCAGGCAGCTGAGATGTTAGTTTATTCATGTAGTAAAAAAAAACCACCCCAAACACCCTACTTGTCTAAGTTGACCCCTGAAGCATGGCTGCTTGACACTGGGTTTTGTCACTTAGTTCAGCATAGTGTCCTTGGGCACCGCACCCAGTCTCTCCTGTTGCTGTCCTCTTGTGTGCTTCGATGAGAAAGGAATCAGGAGAACAAGATGTTTCTTGTAGTGTCTAAAATAGCAAAGGCTTACCATTGCAGTGGAAGGAGGACTTTTCCATCAACTGAATTGTTATTGGAATTTATTTTACTAAGTTTGTCTTACTGAGTTTATGCAATTTCCAGAGAATTGCATTTTTTGCAAGTACTTCTTACATGTCAAGCATATTTTATTTTCCACGTTAAATTGTTTTTGGACGTGGGATGTCTGGAAAAGTGCTGTGGCAATAATCTGCTCTTCTGGGACACTAAGGCTGCACAATCAGTTGCATGTAAAACTGTTTTTTTAAAAATGAGATGCTGGTGATGTTTTGTAATGCTTACTCAAGTGTAGAGGACTGCTCATTTCACCTACACATGTTCTCCACTACTGTGGAAAGAGGTGTTCATAGTAGCTAGTAAGTACTACATGAGTATGGGAGGATTACAGTGGACCCTGGGAAATAGTTTGAGCAGCAGATAAGCATGACACAATGCAACCTTTGGGGACCAAATGAAAGAGTTACCGCCACTGGATGGTAGTTTTTAACCCTGGGTTACTGAAGTCACACGTCTGCACCATGAGAGGTGAGCACATGGTGCCTCAGTGCTGGCAGGGGTTAAACGTGTCCCACGTGCTTTGTGGAGCTCGTGGGGATGAGGCTGGCTCAGGAGATGAGCGATGTGATGGAGCACGAGGTACATGTGGAGGTCTTTGCACCCTAATCAGGGAGATTTTACCATATTCTCCAAAACTGTCCAAATACATACCTAGAATAAATTTATGCTGGTATTGGAAAGCAGCTCTTTCATCTTCATGTGAGCAGACTAGAGCCAATCTGAAAGACGTGTGGTGTGGGCACGAGGGCCTCGAAACCAGCTGCGTTTCTCTCCGTATGAGTTTGCACATCTGTTTACCCTGCACAATCTGCTGAAGAGCCCACTGCCAATAATGCAGCCTTCTACTTGCAGGAAAGGCTTTCCAAATCCACAGAAAGACTTTCTTTTGTTCAGAGTATCAAAGGGGAGCTTAAGGGGAGCACTTCTGGAAGTGACTTGAGGTGATCTATTAAAAAAAAATAAAAATCTGACCGTTATCTAGCTGGAAAATGCAAGGAAACCTGTTTTATTACCACCACGCAAAGCAATGAGACAAAGATATCCCTTATAATCTCCTCAGTGCTCCTCAGTTTAATTATTGAACCATTAGTAAGAAAGATCAGAGGTGGTAGAGAGATTACAGATGTATAAGTGTATTGGGAATAGTAAAATCAAGTTTAGTTTTATGTTGATATCATTATACTCTTATAAAAGATATAAATTAAAGCTTGCCAGTTTTACTGGAAATAATTGAAGCTTTTAGTCAGGAATTGGAAGGACACAATAAAACTCCACTAAACCAGAGATCAATAGCCCTGGCTTTAAATAAAAAAATAAATAAAGCTGAAAAATGTCTGCTGAAAATAATGAATAATAATGAGACAGGAGAATAGGTTAGCATGCTTAAAAACGTCTGCATTTTTAAGTGTATTGGTTGGCCTAATAAAAGATATTGCCTCTTTTCTAATGCCTTGCTTCTCTTGAGATACTTAAGCATTAATCCATACCTGTAGGGGAAAGCAGTTCAAATTAAATGTAAGCCATTAATGAAAACTGCATTCGGTGACCTAGTAACCTAATTACCATTCATATTGATTGGAAGAATCCCAGGGCTTAAAGCTGACGTCCTACTCAAGGTCCTTTTCCCCTCTTGCAGAACTTGCTGACCCTCCTTTCCCCTCTTCCCACCTTGTGCCTCAGAAAGGTGTCAAGACTTTATTCAAACATTCCTACAGCCAAATCGAAACAGGAATCGAAAGAGAGTTCGTGGTGTTCCTGCGGGTAATGAAGAGATGGGGCTGGTGCTGTGAAGGTAGTGATGCATTGTGTACATGAGGCAGTTCAGTAAAACTTCTGCCAGCGTTCGGGATGCTTTAATTCAGATGTTCTCTCTCAGGAGCTGTAGGGAGTCAAGGGCATAGGGACAGAGCTTTACACAGGTGAGGGACCCAGTAAACCCAGACTTTGCACATCATAAAGCAGCTGCATCCAGCATCTGGATAACGCCGGACTTTATTTCTGTGCAAGTGTGCACATGATGTGTGCAGCTGGGTTGTAGGGAAGAAAGCTCGGAGCAGAGCCTGCTCCTGCCCCCAGTGCTCTGCACAGCCCCTCCGTGGTCCAGCCAGCACGGACGCTGACAGAGCACTGGCTATGCTAAAGCAAATTACTGGCCACTTTCTGGAATAAATAGTCTCATTTGCTGCTGAGCTGCCCGGTACCATGGGCAAAGCAATGCATGTGTTGTGGAGCAGGACAAGGCGGTGCTTCTCAACAGGGGCATCACATCACCCAGCCTTCCGCACGCCACGAGGCCGCTGAAATATTTATGTGACTGCTTTGGGTGGAAGCAGCTGTTTCATCTGACAGTGGCACAATTTGTCAGTAAGAGACATAAAATTTAATGCCAGATCAGGAGCTTAACATTTATGCATATGAAATAATGGTTCTTAATGTAGAAAATGTAAAGAAGGTCTATTTAAATATATGTATATTTCTCCAGGTGGCAAGCAGGCTGCAGATTTAGACAGCCTCTAAATAATTTGTGCAATGCACAGTGGCATCCTGGAGTCCCCATTAAATTTCACTGGCCAAAACACATCATCAGCCAGTGCTCATGGGCTGCAGCAGCCTTAGACTAAAGAGCTTCACAAGTGTTGATAGCAACAAATCTTTTCCATGTTGCGGTTTAGTCTCACGGCTTTCTGGGCCTTGGGAAGGCACATCATGGCTGTGCCATCACTCGGAGATGGCCTCGGGATCTGGGCAGCTTCAGAAGCTCCTGGTCTGCTGCTGCAGCAATTAGCGCTGGTAGCGCTGCACAAGTTTGGGCTGTCACCACCGTGCTGCTGCACTCCGAAGAGTAATCGAGTGAAAGGCTGTAATTTCATAACGAGCCAGGCGATCCTCTCAAGCTTTCAGAAATAGACTGTTAGTAAAGTCTAGCAGGCACTAATTAGCTAAGAATGAAAAAAGAAGCGGCAGTAGAGCTCTTTGTGGACTGGCTGTTTCCAAGTGTATGGGGTAAAGAAAAACAAGAGACAATCTTTCACAACCCTTTCTGGTACAACCATCTTGACATTTGTAACAACAATACGAATGAAGGGTAATATTTTGACTTTTAAAGCCAAAGATCTGTCACTAAGACAGTGAAAAAAAATCAGTTATTTGTACTTATTTCTAAAAGCAAGTGTGTTAAGTATGTGTGTTGGTAAACTAGAGACATGACTGAAAACTATCGAGCAATGAGTTCATCATTGGTTTTATATTGGAGATTTGCTTTGCTCAGTCATGTACAATTTTTTATTATGGAAATGTGGAAAAATGTCCTTCTCATCTCACAGCATTTTTCACAGCAGTCTCCTATGTGCTTTATGAAGATAGCTGCAAAAATAAAATTTGATAGATAACTTCCAATTCTTTTTGTCTTTTCATATTTCATATAGTCCATGAAGAACCCTCATAATTTTTTTATATTTGCCCATAAAGATTTATTGTAAAAGAGAGACTCAAAACAGCCCTTTACTGTTTGCACGAAACGCAAGCGTGGAGCTTACTGTTGATACAATATTTTAGTAATAATTAGTTTGTTATAGCTGTTTTGTCACAGAAGGAGATACGTTTTGTGTAAAGCTGGAGTCAGTTCACTTACAGTGAAAATGTCATGTAGCTGTTCCTAATGATCTTTGTAGTGCTACAAAGGTAATCGAGTCATTTGTGCGTCCAGTGCCTGCACGTGCCATCATATAGCAACTGCAGCATCCGAGAGCGTGTGCTTTGCATATGCAATTTCAGCTGTTGTATAGAAAACAGCTGGAATCGAGAGCTCGATCTTCATTCATAAGCATCAGCACAGATTGTAGTCTGCGGCCAAAATCCTACCTGGCTTTGAGAATGTGCTCATCCATGGGATTTAAGAATGAGGTGTGTGTGTTTGCTGGAAATTTGATTTGTGTGCGTTACACAAAGCACAGGTGCCTTGACATGTAAATTCAGTTTTCTCTTAGACCAGTGGGAGATGATTTGTTTTGTCAGTTTTTATGTCCCAGTATTTTACTGAAAGAGAGCATGCTAAACACCTGCTGTAGTTCTAAAAGTTAGAAGATAAGATTAGTAAGTGGATAGTGAGTCTTCCCATTCCCTGACTATAAAATGAGATGATATAATGCTTATCCTTTAATTCACAAACTGTGCAATAAAATGCATCTCTTTCTATTTTGACTTCTAGTGTCTTTCCTCTCTAGCATTTCAAGTTTCTCAATACACAGGCAAGCAAGGCCAACTTCCCCAGTCTTATAGAATAGAAGCAGAGAATGGTTTGGGTTGGAAGGACCTTAAAGGTGATCTAGTTCCAAGCTCCCTGCCATGGGGGAATACATCTTATCTGGATCTAATTGGGATACATGATATACTAGACACATCTTGGTTAAAAAAATAAATTATGCCTTTTCTTCCATCTTTACAATCGTCCTTTTAGAACTTAAAACACTATTTAAAGTGTTTCGAGCCCCGCAACCCTGACTGGCTGTGACAATACTTGTATTTCAGAAGTGCCAGACTGGCTTAGATGTCCTAGAGCAACTTGTAGAGATTGAGATCATTACTTTTCATCTTTTTCTTTCCTTTTCCCTGCCTCCCCCAGATTGATATAATCCTCTTACAGGAAACATTCAAGCTGTTCCCTGAAGTCTTCTATCTCTATTTTTGCCAGTAATAAGAAATTAGACCAGAGAAGCTGAGTTTTCATATGGCCCCATCACATATTCAGATCTACCTTCTAATTTTTTCCATGTCTTGATAATTCCTTGCTTGCATCCTGCAGATGAGCTCATTTACATTCTTTAATGTAATTTACTTGCTCTTGGGAATAGAAGACATGGATAAATTATTTTTTTTAATCCAAACATACATCTTTTATACTTTCAACTTTAATAGACTGTACACACCACATGAAATGGGAGAGGAAGGAAATAAACAAAACCAAATCAAAACAGGAGGCACTAATAGCTCCTTTTCTCCAAAGATTTTTAGGGGATCGGCCAAACCTACAGAATGTCCCTCTTTTAGAAACAGCCCCATTCCATTTGAAAGAACCTCCCTGCTAGAGAATTAAATTTTTTGGCAAGAAAAAACATTTTAAATTGTCAAAATCAGTTGTTCATTATTGGAGATCTATAAACCATCTAAAGACAGTAATCTGAATGGTTTAATAGATAATAAATCTTTTAAAAAATACCTTTCATGCTTCTTCCAGTTTGCAGAGAAGTTCCAAGAAGTAAAAGAAGCGGCCAAACTAGCAAGAGACAGATCTCAAGAGAAAATTGAGACCTCAAGCAATCATTCCCAGGTTTGTAATTTAACTTTAATACCTGTACGCATACAAGATAAATAATTTAAATTTTTTAATGGACTGTACCAGCTTCTGGCAGCAAGCTTAAAGTGTATAAATGAAGATTGACGAGGGTAATTGTCAGCTGCTGGACATTAGCATTGTCAGAGGAGTATTTTTCGTCCATCCATGCTCTTTGCTTTCATTTAAGTCTGATTTTTTTCAGCAGTTCTTGAGCTGGTATCTAATAACAGGGAAAGCTATACGTCCTCTGATTTGGACTGCTGCACATACTTTGGGTCATGGGAAAATCAGCGTAGTGCTTCAGCAGACAGCAAACGAGGTTCACTGAGATACTTCGTTTTGTCATCTGCCCAGCCTGCTGTTGTAGGGGTTGGGTTTGCCAATGGAGAGACCGGCTCTATGGTTTGACAGCCTTGGGGTGAGGGGTGGGGTGGGCAGAGGCAGGCTTCAGCGAGTGGCTGGGAGAGGCTTGTGCTGCAGATTTGTGCAATGCGCTTTTCTAGAGGGGTCACCTCGACACAGCCACACGCATCGGTGTCCCGGGAGATCTGGGTTTCTTACAAATTGAAGAAATTGAGTGCTGTCCCAGAGTCTCTATCTGTTTGACTGTAGTTTCACGCACATTGCTGTTCAG